ATGGTAAATTCAATACTCTTCTCCAGCACCAAAGCTCAAAGGCATCAATTCTCCTTCTATCCTCCCTAGTCATTGTCCAACTCTCTGATGCATAGCAAGTGATTAGTAACTAGTAACTGCTGTTAATGGAGAAAGAAAGGAAGACTCTCTAGCAGATGGATGGATGCCATGTCTGTAACAATGGGTTTGAGCACATCTTTGATTACTGGGATTACACATGATGGGGCAAAGTTGAGATTTTGTGTTCACATGGTTGGTATGAGTCACAGCTGACTGGACAGCACCTAACAACCACAATAACAGCAAGTGACAATGTCCTTTCCTTGCCCTATCCTGTGCCCACGCCACATTCTCTGCCTTGTTCAAGCTTGATGTTGCAGTCACCACGTCAGTCCATCATGTAGTAGTCAACTAAAGTACACGGAACAATTAATGGAACAAGATGAGACAGTGTCTCATTCCTAGGGGCTGTACGGGCGCAAGAGCTTCAATAGCCCCTAACAATAAACAACAACTAATAATGACAGCCATGAGCTCTTTACAAATCGCTTCCACTTTCACATCACTCAACAACAAAAATGCCATTACTCAAGTTTTCCCGTAGAAAATGGGTAGCACGTATTACATTTTACAGCCTCTTATGAGAGTACAAGAAGTGGATACACTAATTCTGTAAAGAGAGCATTATTTTGTTTTAAGTACATGAAAAAATGAACATCGTTAAGTCAATTATTTGAGCATTAAAATAATATAAGGGAATTAAATGTAATTGAAGGTAGTGTTAAAATATTAGTTGAAATAATCATGACTGGAAGAAATATAAAAATGAATCCCTCTTTTTTTTTTTTAATTTAAAGGAAATCAACTACCTGGGTTCTGGCCTCTGCAATCTGAAGGCTAAGTTGACAGGGAACCAATTCTCCAAAATAAATTTTAGTCTTAAAATCTTCTGTCTAGGAGACATGGCAAGTAGTGTCTAGGCCAAAGCATTCAAATAGCCAATAGTCTTGTAAATGGTTTCATCCTCTGAGTTTCATAATCATGTTCATTCTGTCAGTGTTGTTGGTAATGCTGGAGATTATCATCAGATCTCCAGCACGTGGTTATAATTTGATGATGACATCAGCAGCAACATTTGCCCACCTTGCACGGTGATTATACTGCTGTTTGAAACAATGGCTTCGCTGGTGGAAATCAGGCTCATCCATTCCCACTCAAGCTGCTGGGTTCCTCCTGAGGTTCTCACCAAACCTTCTCTCTCTGTGTCTGTTTTTCTTTGACATATTTCCCCCCATTAAAATCTATTGTCCAAATTTCCCCATCATCACAGGACCCCATCTCAGAACAGAGGAATAATTCTAACCAGGACAGGGAGAGCACTCACCAGCGCATCATTTGGTGTGTCCACATCCACTTTAGTTTTGATGTTTTTCTTGTGGTTTCCTTGATTGCTGACAGTGCTTCCAGCAAGACAGGGGCCCTGGGAGCTGCCCTTTAACACACTCTGGTAAAAGACGTTACTCGATCCACCATCTGTCTGGTGAGTTCCTTTCTTATCAACTCTGCAGGTACAAAGTGATTCCTCTGGTAAATTATATTGCTTTTCTTCACTCTACTTTTTCCAATTCTTTAACGCGTACACTAACCTCCACGCATCTCTTTGGCTTTAGACCTTTATGTGATATGTAGTTTTCATGGACTTTAAGCAAATCTTTATCTGAGGGTTCAGCTACTGTATAGTAAATTTAGCTTTGGTAAAGTAATAATGTTTTTACTTCTACGATCATGTTGTTGTTGTGTACCGTGTTGAGTCAGAATTTACTCATAGCTGACCCTCTAGCATGTTTTCAGAGGCTGTACATTGCATAGGAGGAGAATGCCCAGATTTCTGCCTAAGAGCAGATGGTGGATTTGAACCACTTGCCTTTTTGTTGGCAGCACACCTCCTTATCCACTAGGCCATGAGAGCTCCCTTTATGATCATGAGGGAAGGTAAAGTGAAAGCCACTGGAAAGAATGAATGCTGAACACATTTCAGCAGAAAATGTAGTTACTTCTGGAAAGTTTCTAAGTATACATTTACGTGGTACAATCAATGAGTCCAATATACTTTAAAACGTGTACTTAATTTCTTCCATTTCATGCCATGCGGATGCATTTGTGGTTCTTAGCGTAGGTTGAATTTCCATCAACCTTGGTAAAACTTCCCATTCTTTAATTTCAAAGATCATTGGTTTGGTTAACAAAGTAACAGGCACTGAATTATCATTTTATTGAAAACTTTTACTTCATTGTTTAAATTCTGGCTAATGTAGAAAAGACTGCTGCAATGCATTTCTTCTTGTATGAAAGACATGCTTGCCTGACACTTAATGTTTAAGAAGCCAATAATTCTACTTACCAGGGCAGGGTCCCCTCCATCACCACCCTCTCCTCCCTAGTTACCTGTTCAAAAGCTCCGCCATAAAGGTATCTTTTGGTGAACACGGGACAGAGCTGGGTTTATTTCTTGGTTCAAACTCCAATTGGTTGTAAATGTCCTGTGATGGCTTCGGGTGCTGTCTGCTGTGGGAACTAACCTCTGGACCACCTGCTGACTCAGTTTCCCCCCTGAGCTCATTTTCCATCTCACTTGGTACCTCAGGCTTCTTTTTCTCTTTCTTTCTCTCAGAATTTAGCTGCTTATTTCCAAACCCTAGCCCCTTTGCTTCTTTCTTTTCCTCTTTGGTTTTGGAGACATCTGCCTTCCGGCTACTGAGCGCTGGAAGCCTGCTCTTCCGGAAACCAAACCAGCTGGCAAATGAGGGCCCTGGCTTCTGTTTGGTGCCCGTGGGGGTGGTCTTGGTTGGCACCTGGCCCTTCTCCACGTTCTCCTGAATGCACAACATGACCTTTTCTTCAATGGATGGTGACAACGGGGCTTCTGGACTCACAGCATCAAGCCTGGGAGCAGATGTATTGGGATGCCTTCCGCAAGTTTCCACCAGGGGTGTCCTGCCTGTTTCCAAACTGCTTGAACATTGCACCCTCCCTGGGCTCTGCAGGACACGAGGACAGCCTGTTGGGGTGGTTGGGCACCTGCAGTGGTCACTGCCTTGTTCTTCAGGCACAACCACGCTGGGGCAGCTGCCCTGGGTGTAGGCCAGCTGGTCTTCCGACCCAGGAGGGTTGATGAGCTCTTCGGGTTCTGCAGGGACCCTCAAAGGCAACCTGCTTGGGCTGTCGTGCTGGCTGCTAGAGCTACCTGTGCTCCCCAGAGAGCTCTGGCGGGAGGAAGGGAGCCCCAGAGGTCTCCCAGCTTGGGACAGGCTCTCAGGGGCTGGAAGGAAAGGGGACTTGCTCGGAAGGCCTTCCAGAAAGGAGCTCTGTCGGGTGAGGGAGCTGCCCCTGTCTGCAGTGTTGGTGATGATCTGCGTGCGGACCTTGCTGGCCCCTTCCGTGGGCGGCGTGGGGGGCTTGTCCCCTGAGTGAGCACTGAAACTCTGGCTGCGGGCTTTGGCCCCGTTCATGCCCAGAGCTGGTTTGAGGTGCGGCTTGCTGGCGGATAGTGATCGCTTCACAGATTTGCTTTCTCCCCCATCTCCTCCATCAGCCCCTGGGACACAGTGCTCTGGTGGGTCCAGTAGGGCTTGCTCCTGGGAACACCCTTGGGATGGCCTGTCTTTGGGCTGGAGGCTCAGGCTTTGTCCATCCTCTGCGGGGCTCGCTGCCTTCCTGTCCTCCTGTTGAGTCCTTCCTGTAGCCACCGAGCTTTTTGAGGCCTCGTTTAGACTGTCCTTTTCATGTTTCCCCGGCACCGTGGAACTTTTCCTGAGCAATTGGGGAGATTTGAGGAGAGCTCTGAGGCCCACCGGAAGGCGGGTTTTCAGGCCTTTCTCATGAACACTGAGACAGCCGGGTATGGCACTGTGGCTTCTCTGGGGCGTCACTGGGGAGGGCGTGTTAACCTGAGAGGATGATGACTCTAAAAATGGGGTCTTGGTTGATGTGGGGGCACTGTTGGTCAGCTGTCCTTTTCTTACTGGGGAGACACTTTTGGAGGACAGTGTTTCCAGGACCTCTTGGGTGGAGGGACAGTTCCTGGGAGTGTGAAACCCTGTGTCTGCCTCTGTGGTCCCAGGGGTCTGGTGAGGAGAGGTTTTAGGGATGCCTCTCTTTGGAGAGACTTTTGGAGGTACAGGAGCCATCACTGCAAAAGAGCTGGAGGTGGGGTGCCCAGGGCATCTGGCATGAACCATGGTGTCTGTGGAGGGTGGAGGGTTAGGGAAGAGGGGCTTTTTGAAGGCCACGGAAGGTTTCTTCCCCTGAACTTCAGTCATGGCCTGAGGTGCGGAGGATCCTTTAGGAGGGGAGGGTTTCAACACTGCCTTAGCCATTTCATTGGGAACCCTGGCTTCAGGCTTGCTGGGTGAAAATGGTGACAAATAGTCATAACTGGGTCTGATCAGTAGTGACAAGGACCTTCCCGGGGGAAGAGGAGGGGACTTTCCCCTAGCCTCTGGTCCCAAGTCAGGCTGTGCATCCTTTGTGGGGGGGTCTCCACGGTCACCTGGCTCCATGAGGGGCCTGGACAGCAACCGTGACCCTGGAATGGGACTCTTGGAGCATGGGGCCCTTCTGCTGGGCGTTCTGGAGCCTAGAGGAAGTTGAGTGAGGTGCTGTGGAATGTGTGAATCTGGCCGTAAATCCAAAAGGTGTGCTGGGCTCTCGGTCCCCTTGAACTGGGACAGCTTCCCAGGAATGAAGCCCGGTGATTGGTCAGTGGTCACCAGTTCAGCTGAGGGCCCCGCTGAGGAGGCTTCAGGCTCCGTTATTTTTGATTTCTGAGATGCTGACCTCCCCCGGGCAGGTATTTTTGTCAGATTTTGCTTTTGATGGATGCTCATGGACACTGAAGACCTCGGGCCACTCTGGCAGGATGTATTGTGCACTAGTCTGGCTAGCTTTTGTCGCTGAGTGTTATTTTGTGTTACTGTCCTCAGGCCGCAAGGTCCCGTGGGTGCTGAGGGAGTATTATCGACACTGTCTTCTGGAATGTTTCGCTCAGTTTCCACTTCAGATCTATGTAAGAAAAGAAAGTCTCTGGCACCAGCTCCCTGCTGCACGTGAGCAATTCCCTGAGGTGAAAAGTCAGTGTGTCTGGCTGTGGGCCCAGCAGAGGCCTGCCTGATGGAAACTTCCTTCCCGTTCACAGTGAGAGCTCCAGCCTGGTGGGAGCTGAACTCAATGGGCTCACCATCTTCTGCGTCAAATATCAGTGTTGTACATTCTTCTGAAGAAGTCCTTTTCACAACCCTTCGCTGCTTAATGAAACTAAACGTCTTTGGCTTGTTCTCTAAGTGGATGGGTACTTGCTTCTCCTTCTCATCAAGAGACTCACGTTGAGGCTTTCCAAGTGCAAGGAGGATGTCCAGGTTCTCCACGGACCGGTCTGTGTCGGCAGCCAGTGACAGGTCCGAGGGGCTCTTGTCATCACTGCTCCCGATGTGCAGCTCATCCAGCGTCTCACTGTCATCAGTGTCTGAGAGCTGGGGGCGGAGGGCCAGGCAGCCCTGGTGGTGGCCACCTCCTGTCCTTTCTAACTGAGGCATCTGCCCTCTGGGGCACAGCTTTCCCTCTAAGGGACAGTGGCTGACACAACTGCTCAGCTTCTCAGGCCTCTCCCTGGGGTAAATCAAGGCAGCACCTTCTAAAAAGGACTTTCCACTCGGTTCCCAGCCAAGCAGACTGTTGGAAGCACTCTGGGTTAATCTGCAGCCACTCAGCCTGCAGCGCTGGTCTGGAAGCGTGTGGAGCAGGGCCACGGAGGCTGGGTCCTCATCAGCATCATCGTGGGAATCCGTGTCATAAGCAAACGCCTTGTGTTGCTCTTTGCAGGGGCTCCCCACAGCAGCTGGCTGGCAGGGTGAGCAGGCCTTGAGGCTGGTGCACTTAACTCCCGGAGAATAGATTCCTTCATTTGAATTCATGCAATCTTTGTAGCCCCATTTGGTTACCATGGAGGGGGTTTCAAGGAGCACTTTCCGCTTCTGTAGTTTCTTTAGTCCTTCCAAAATATGACTTTCCTTGATACGAGTTGGAGGTAGCGCATCTGTTGTGCTAGCAAAGCCACTCGGGAGTGACGAACCAATACTTAGCCTTTTATCCCAGTTTTGTGAAGACTGCTAGGAGGAAACAAAATAGATATTAGCAAGGGCTGAATCATCTGAATTCCAAATAAAGAAAAGAATTTATCACTGTTGTTGTTATTAGGTGCCGTTGAGTCAAGCATGGCCCACAGTGACCCTGTGAAGGGCAGATCTGACCCTGTCCTATCCTGTGCCATCCTCAGCATCTCAGATACACTTGAGCCCATTGCTGCAGTCACCGTGTCAATCCATCAGGCTGAGGGTCTTCTCTTTTTCACTGACCCCAACTGTTCCAAGCATGATGTCCCTCTCCAAGAAATATAACTAGATTGAATTAATTAATTAGTGCATATATTAGCTAACTCGGGAGAAGGGTGGGCAATCTCCTCTTGCACAATTAACTGCCTCTGAAAACCCACTAGAGGGTCACCTACGGGTTGGTTCCAACTTCATGGTAAACAACAATGACAACATAACAACAACAACAACAATAACAACAACACTCTTACATATGTAAAGCTGCTGGACATATTTAGAATCTGAGGGTAATTATGAGCCTTCTAGCTAGAAAATGCTTAAGAACTAGAGCTGGGAAAGATATATTTAAAGGACAGTTGAAGACTATCTACAAGATCAATATGGCCCCACAACAGAGTCCATATAGGAAGTAGGGAGAATTACATGATATTGGATGCATCTTCTACCAAGGACCTGTTTAAAGTGCTTACGTGCAAAGATGTCATTTTAAAGACATCTAAAGGTGTCTTTAAATTTAAATTTAAATCTAAAGGTGTCTTTAAATTTAAAGACATTAAAGGTGTCTTTCATAGTATTTTTTAATTGCTTCATATGCATGTGAAAGTTAGAGAATGAATAAAGAAGCCTGAGGAAGAAAAACTGATGTCTTCGCATTGTGATACTGGTGAAGAATATTGAACATACATACTATGAGCTTTCAAGAGAACAGAAGCATATATCTCAGAATAGTGCCACTGGGGTGGTCCTTGGAGTGAGCAAAGAGAGATTTTATTTCACCTACTCTGGGCATGTTGTCAGGAGAAGCTAGTCCATAGTAAAGGGTATCATGCTAGGAAAAGTGGAAGGACAGTAAAAGACCAGAGGATCCTCAATGAGACGGGCTAACAGGGTAGTTGCATGGGCACAGCAGACTGCGAGAACAGTGCAGGACTCAGCAGTGTTTTTTCTGCTGTCCACAGGCCCACTGCTACTGGTTGCTGCCTCAATAGCACCTATCAACACAACCGAGAAAGGTCTCTTTCCTGCCCTTGGTGCTTTCTCGAAGACCAGCGTTAGTTTCTGAAAAGTTTACAGGAAATGTCAAGGGAAACTGCATGCTATATAGATATTTCTTATTTTCCCTTACTTGTTATAAAGACAAAACAACAACAACAACAACAACAAAACAAACCAAAAAGGTAGAGGAAGAAACTAACACTTACTGAGCATCTCACTTACAGTCACTTACAGAGTAAATGAATTTCAAAACAACACTGTGAGAGAGACAGCCTACTCTTCATTTTGCTATGAAGCAAATGGAGATTCAGAGAGATTAGTCATCCTCAGACCATACAGTTGTAAGAGGAGGAGTGAAGATTGAACCCACAGCTTCCCTGGAGCCTCCTTTGATAGTCTGAAGCTTCCAAATCAGTTCAAAACTGACTATGCAGAGGTCCGAACGCCTGTGTCCAGGCGTGGTGGTTAGAGTCTTCAGTCCTGTTCATGTTGAAGGGTCAGGCTGGGCCACTCCCCTCTTTAATAATCAGTGTCAGAACAGAAATAATTCCAAATGGAGCTCGCACAATTTAACAACAAATCAGCAGAGGGAAAATGTGGGATGTGGGGGCTCCCCTCTTACTTTTGTAAAAGCCCATATGATTAACATCGAGGATTCCATGGATGAATCCCATCATTTCAGAAGTGCATTTACTTAAGGGCTCACTCTGCATACTAATAATACATACGCATATCCAGAACATGTCTTTTGGAAGCTGACCTTTCTAATGAACTCTTAACATTTGTTTATATCTCAGACATTTACATCAAAATTTCTCTTGTTATCAATAATGTATACATGCTTACTTATTATTTCAGTAAAAGAATACTCGCCAAAATACTCTAGGTCTGAAGATGCTGGAGGCAGATGCTTTTTGGCAAGGCTCCCCTCTTCTCCCTCCTTTCCTTTCACCTTTGAAAACTTGTTCAACATGAGGAGAAATCCCTTTAGTGAGACTGGGTCTTATAGACTAACCACTGGGCAGGCAGGACTTGGCCTGAAGGATTTCCATGGTCCCCATAGCCACAGGAACAATAAAGGAGAGAAGCCAGGCAGGAGTACTCCAGGCCAAGCTAGGGAAAGGCAGATTTGTCCACCCCCATAGAAGTGGTGCTTAGCTCTGATGCCCACCTCCTCACAGACTCATCCAGGGTCTGCCAAGCTGTGCTTTGCTTCATCCTGGCATCAGCTGCTGAAGAGCCCTGGCTTAGAGTCACATGAGATAAGTCATATTTCTCAGCCAGTTTTCCTCAGGAGGTCACGGTATCCAACTACTTGAGAAAAGTTTAGGGTAACATGGAAACTTAAAAAGAAAAGCAAAAGCAAAACACAAATGCCCTGTGAAGAGGCTGGTGGGGAGGATCCTGTGTTTCTCACAGGCAACTTCATCCCTGGTTGGAAAAAGCTCGAAGACAGTGGCTCTAGACGATGTGTGGTTGGTTAAATGGTGCTGCTGATCGGGGAGGACTTTGGGCTCACTGTGTCCAGAACCAGTCCCCGCTGAGCTAGATTCCACCTCATGGTGAAATGAGGTGGAATATGTGTGTTTGTGTAGCACTCAACTCCATGAGGTTTTCAACGGCTGTCTTTTCAGAATTCACTCTGGGTGGATTCCACCCTCTGACCTCCATTAGGAGATGGGTTTCTTTATTGTGCCATGCAGAGGCTCCTTTCATGCTCAAAGTCCTTTTCCAATTCTTGCCTCAATAATAAATTTTTACAATTGTTTTACAAATTTTTTTTTTAATTGTCTTACAAAGTTTTACAATTTTTTTTTTAAAGACAAAACCATTCTTGGTTTTACAACTACAGAGAAACTCTCCAAGCTTTAAGCTCAATCAGAATGTCCACAAAGGCAGACTGGGTGAGCGAGGCTCTAAGACCTGGTTCCCAGCTCTGCCACTTGTTGACTGTAAGATCATGGGCTCTTTATCTCTTCAGCACATCAGTCCTCATCTGCAAAATGGGAGAGCTGCATGACACACCTCATAAGGCTGTTGTGAGCATTATATGACTGATCGCTTCGAATGTGCACGAGCTGTTTCACAGGGTAACTGCTCATTGATACCCATTAATTCTTCAGTGAGATGGAGATTGGTGCACGCCACACATCCTTCTTTCCTGCTCCCACACAAAAAGATACTCATGAGCTAAAGAGAGTCAATATCCATATATTTATTATTCTATATGTTAGTGCTATATTCATATTTAGATTCACATTGTATTAACTAACTAATCAGAGTAGTTAATATAAGATGAGCAATTGGCATGCAGTTAGAAATGCAGATTGTTCTTTGAATAATAGAAGTTAACAAGTTGAGGTATGTTTTTATTTTTTTTTTAATTTTTAGTGTATTATTTTTACGTGTACCATCAAATCAGATCTGACTGGTACAGGAGGAGATTGCCCTCTCCTTCTCCAGCAGAGCATCTGGTGGATTTAAGTTGAAGTATGTTACTAGCTGCACAGGGGTACTTGGATGGAGCCTAGTTTTCCAGGGTCTTGAGAAGTGGAAGTTTTCAAATGTGTGATGTACCAGGTACATGTGGTGCTCCATGACCACACTATAGGAAAGCCCTATTATATCTCTGCATGAACACATCTGCAGGTGGATGAAGTGTCTTAAGAACCTTCATTTTCTTCCATCAAGGGAGAGGTTTCCTTAGAATTTCACGAATATCTCTAACTAGAAGAATTTCAGAAAAAAGATATAATAAGAGAGAGGGAGAGGGAAGGTGGGAAGGAGAGTGTGAGAGAGAGAACAAGAGAGAGAGAGAGAAAGATGTCTGATAGGGAAAAGAAAAGAGCAGGGGGTGCTGGGAGTTGGTGATAACAACAGAGGAAAAAAAAGATCTGTCATTATCTCCCCAGGAGGAGCCACACCCCTTGAGTTCATACTCTGAGCTCTGGCAAGGCCCTTGGAGGCAGCAATTTCAGTGACACTCCAGTCCCACACTTCGCACTGGAACTAGGAGTCCAAAAGAATCAGTGCTAAATTCACACTTGACATCTTTTTCTGAGTTCTTTTCCAAGGTGTGTTACAGTGACTCCCTCACCAATATTTTCCAAGAGTTATGGATTTTCCTCCCTTACTGTCTCTGCTTCTGAAATATTAAAATTAAATTGATATAAAATATGAGGAACAATGATTTCCAAACACCATGCTTTGGAGTTTAATGAGCCTGTGTGCTCTTTTATTTTTCTCCAACACTACGAAATTACTAAAGTAGTATGTAAAAACGTTTGTTCAGAGTGGCAGGACCTTAGCTTTGCAGGTGAGAATAATTTAGCAGTAGGAGTTCTTTAAAAAGCTGCTAAAGGAATGTCTAGAATATTGCTAGGGATATGTCCACCCTCTCTCAGGCTGTGAGTCCTGGCTTTTACTGTGGTTCCCTCTCCCTGCTAAGCCGTCCTCTGATTTATGTTATTCAGTTTTGGATGAGGCAACAGGATTGAGTAGAGAAGGTCAACATAGCACATGACATTCTTGAGGGGTAAATTTCTACGAGAGAGAGAGAGACTCCTAAACCTTTGGGTCATTTTTTTTCCCCCTGGGATAACCCACCATCTATCTCTCTTATTCTATTGGAGAGAATTTTCCCTTGGAATTTTTGTGGTCTGCAACAGCTTGCTGAATGACCCTGCTCAGTATTTATAGCAAGAAGGCACAGCAAGTGATGATTATTACAGCAATGCACGAGGGCTGCAGAACTAACTGGAACATCTGAGCGGGTGTGAGAGCTGGAAGCTCCTGTGCTCCGGGGCCCTGCACTGCAGTCTGATCTTGGTGCCATCCACCAAAGCACAAAAAGGAATGTCTTCCCAAACTCCCTCCCAGGATAGCAGGTCACTTGGCCAGATCATTCTACTCCATCATTGGTGTGTCAGGTGACCCATGGCCCATCACCTCTGGGGAGTAAGAGCCTCTCTGCACCAATTTCCTTTTCTAAAGGTAAACAAGTATCTAATTGTGTAATTCTTCCCTTTTTGTTTTTTTAATGAATGGTCATGTGTGCCATCCCTCTCACCTGCCCACATCTGTGCATTCCATCTGCTCTCCCTGTGTGGTTTTTGTGAAGAACAGATGAATAAGTACTCCGAAAATGTTCAGTTCTTTCTTGCCATTCCCCTTATTAACAACTCCTATTAGATTTGAGGATGGTGCAGGAGCTGGTCACTATGGGTCATGGTTGACTCAACGGCAACACACACACACACACACACACACACACACACACACACACACACACACACACACACACGATGCTTTTCTGGCTCTCTTGGAGGTGTGAGTTCCTTACCCTCTTCCCGGGGGTCTTTCCATCATTCCATGTGTATGAGGAGCCGCTGGAGTACTCGCTGCAGGTGCTTGTCAGGGACAGCTCGCTGCTGCTGCAGCTGTTTGCAGGACAGAGATGACTGGGAAGAGGTACCCCCAAACTAGCACATCTTAAAGTGGGGGTTCCGGATTTTCCATTCAGCTGGTGTTCCTGAAAAAGTGGGGCAGTTGTTAGCCAGGATTTTGCTTAGGACAGAATATATACCAATGCAACTTCACATCTAGGGGGAAGGAAACAATATAATTGTTACAAGTTACCATTAAGGAGTCAGACAGATTACAGGTTGAAATCTTGGCTCTGCTTCTTATTCTGTGGTGATGAGGCAATGTTTTCATTTCTCAGAGTCACATTTTCATTTTTCAAAGGATTCATAATACAATGTACCCTATAAGTAGCTCCGATGGCCTAATGGTTAGGGAGTCGTGTGGCCAACCCAAGGGTGGGTGGTAAAATCCACCAGCAGTGCTGTAGGAAAAAGATAGGAAATCTTCTCTCATGTGAGTTACAGCCTCTGAAAGCCCACTGGAATGCAAGCTCTGAGTTCATGTTGATTCCTCAGCCATGAGTGAGTGAGTGAATGGTAATACCATCTACCTCATAAGTTTGGTGTAAAGACCAAAAAGAGTTTCTAGAAGTATATATAAAGGTGTCTGCCCTATAATAAAAGTCCTTAAGTATTACAAACAATCATTATTATATGAGAGGTTGGAGGTTCAAGTCTATCTAAAGGCTCTTCCTAAAAAAGGCCTGCTTACCTAGTTCTGAAAAAGAATCACTCACTGAAACCTCTCTGGAGGTCAGTTGAACTGTGACACTCATGGGTGCTGCCTCACTTTACACAGTCACACAGGCAAAAAATCAGGTCAACATCAAAACCTCGACAATGACTTAAGATGACAGAAGAAGAATCTATGCTTTTGAGATGTGGTGCTAGGAAAGAGTACTGAACATTACAGGGACAACCAAAAAATCTAACAGGTGTGCCCTGGAGAGAGTAAAACTAGACTGCTCATTGCAGGCTAGGATTTTGAAGTTCCATCTCCCATACTTTGTACAGATGGCCAGGAGGGACAAGTTCTTAGAGAAGGACATCATGTTCGGAAAGATGGCGGGAGAGCACAGGAGAGAAAGATCCCAGATGAGATGGATTGACACAGTGTCTAGGGTAATGGGGGTTGGTGTGTTGGAGTCAGTGAGACTGGCTCAGGACAGGGTCACTATGAGTTACAGGCGACTTGATGGCATATAACAACAACAATATAATGAAAAGAATATGGCAGAGTAAAACTCTACCTTAAGCATCTTTTATTATAAGGTTCATGAGCGAGTATGAGCACTAAATAGCAACTCTAGTCACCTGGATCACAGGGTCTAATTCACCTTATTGCTGATGAGTCAGACCCAACTTATAGCTGACTACTTTCTGGATTTTGAAGGACGTGAACGGCACTAAAGGAGACTGACCATCTTTCTCTTGTAGAGTCACTCTCACCTCCAAAGAGGCACCACCTTTGAATTAGCAGCACCACTCCCTACAGACTGCACCACCCCCTACAGACTACACCACCAGAGCACCCTGGATCAAAGACAACACCTTGCCATTAGCCATGCGACCTTGAGAAAAGAAAGACTGTAACCTTCATGGATTTGAATGTCTTCGTTTGTAGCATGAAACAGCTCTACCAAGTTATACCTGTGGTCCCACTGGCTTCAACAACATTCTAAATAAGAATAAAATGTCTATGGTATATCTGGTGACATCTTACAGGAAACCATGTGCCATAGAAAACAAAACTTTAATATCAAGAGATTCTATTATAAAAGATAAAATGTTTCATAGTTAGTTGGCTGTCCAAACAATAGAGGGTTCTCATATCAAAAATTGTGTTTTATGTCAATAATGTGCATGCCATTAATGAGCTTATGTAATTTTGCAATTAGTGCCCTTCCCCCAAAAGTAATTTTTTTAAAAAGTACAATGCTCACACCCATCTTTATCGTGGCTTTGTTCACAATAGCAAAGAGATGGAAACAACCTAAGGGCCCATCAACAAACGAATGGATAGAGAAGCTGTGGTATATTCACACAATGGAATATTATGCTGCATTGAAAAGCAAGAAACTCACGCAATATTATTCCAAATGGCTGACCCTGGAGGACATTATACAGAGTGAAATATCTCAGTCACAAAAAGGCAAATACTGCATAGTGCCACTGTTGTAAAACAGGACTGACGGTTGAGGGGAGACTGAGAAAGAGGGAATAAATAATGCATACTGCATTGAAATAGATGATGGAGAGAACTATTTAAAAGGGATATGTGATTCGGTATTATTGTCATGACAGGAGTCCAGAACGAAGGCTGCATAGTGGAGTGGACTTGAGGGGAGGGATTGAATAATAATGAAAGAATTTTTCTTTCACTTTTCAAAGAGAAGAGTGAACTGGGGGGAGGGGTGGACAGAGAAAAATGCAACAAGGAATGAACGGAAATCCAAAGTCTCTGTAAATGTTCATTAAAATTAATTTTTTAAAAAGTACAATCTCTACAACCAGGAGAAGATAAAACAGATGAATGGAACCTTCTAAGAATCAAATCCCTATGCACATCCAAAAACTTCTCCAACC